GTCCCTCAGCAGGGATGACTCAGCAGAGATGACACACTGTCCCTCAGCAGAGATGACTGAGTAGAGATGACAGCACTGTCCCTCAGCAGGGATGAGTCTGCTTTGCATCAATGGAATCATCATAGTGTCTTATCAGCAGGTGAATGGCCAAAGTGGCATATACTGTAGTTGAATTTAGCTATAAAAAGGAGTAAAGTAGGCCAGGTGTGGTGGCTCACGCCTATAATCCCAACGCTTTGGGAGGCCGAAGTGGGCAGATCACGAGGTCAGGAGTTTGAGACCAGCCTGGCCAATGGTCAAACCCTGTCTCTATAAAAACATAAAAAATGAGCTGGGTGTACCAAAACCCCATCTCAATTTTTTTAAATATAAAAATGAGGCTGGGCACATGGCTACAGGTATGTGCCTATAGTCCCAGCTACTCTGGAGGCTGAGGCAGGAGAATTGCTTGAACCCAGGAGATGGAGGTTGCAGTGAGCCGATACCGCACCACTGCACTCCAGCCTGTGCAACAGAGTGAGACTGTATCTCAAAAAAAAAAAGGGAATAAAGCATGGATGCATGCTGCCACATGGGTGAACCTAGAAAATACTGTCCTCAATGCAGGAAGCTGCACACACAAGGCCTTGTGTTACATAGTTCCATTCATGTGAAATGTGCAGAGGATTAATGGAGTTACATAGAACAGCAAATCTGTGGGGACAGACGTGAGGGGTGGTTGGCAGAGGAGGAAATGGGAATTAACTGAATAGGCAGAGGGTACCTTACAGAGATGATGGAAAGTTTCTAAAACTAGATTATGGCAATAGTTGCAGTCCTTGATAAGCTCATTAAAAATCATTTATGTGTACATGTAAAATGGGTGGATTTTATGGTATATAATTTATGCCTTAATAAAGGTTCTCAAAAAATGTAGCTAGATTAAGTGGTGACAGATGGAGCAGCTCCATTACCTTCAGGTTATCCACTGAAGTTCAGCGTTGGCCTCTCTGCTGGAGATGCTCCTTAACAAAGCTGACCTGGGTCAAGCTCCAGCCACCAGGAGAAGCACTGACTGTCCCTGTCTCTCCCTTCCTGGGTCAGGTGCTGATATTTCCAATGTTTGCAATGAAGCAGCTCTGATTGCTGCCCGGCATCTGAGTCCTTCTGTTCAGGAGAAGCACTTTGAGCAGGCCATTGAGAGGGTCATTGGAGGTGAGCCTGGCAGCTTGGGGAGGGAGGGGTGTTTGCAGCTCTAGGCCTGGCAGGCTCACCCCCTGGCCCATTTCTGCATGCAAGCCACGTGCGGTGGCTCATGCCTATAATCCCAGCACCATGGGAGGCCAAGGCGGGTGGATCACTTGAGGTCAGGAGTGCAAGACCAGCCTGGCCAGCGTGACGAAACCCTGTCTCGTTTTTTAAATATAAAAATTAGGCTGGGCGCATGGCTCGTGCCTGTAATCTCAGCACTTTGAAAGGCCAAGGTGGGTGGATCACAAGGTCAGGAGATCGAGACCATTCTGGCCAACATGATGAAACCCCATCACTACTAAAAGTATAAAAATTAGTTGGGTGTGGTGGCGTGTGCCTGTAGTCCTAGCTACTGAGGAGGCTAAGGCATGAGAATTGCTTGAACCCAGGAGGCGGAGGTTGCAGTGAACCCAGATCATGCCATTGTATGCCTGGTGACAGAATGAAACTCTGTCTCAAAAAAAAAAAATTAGCTAGGTGTGGTGGCACATGCCTAGTACCAGCTACTCAGGAGGCTTAGGCAGGAGAATCTCATGAAAAAAAAAAAAAATCAGTTCGTATGCAGGAACCCAATTTTTTCTTTTTTTCTTTTTTTTTTTTGAGACGGAGTTTTGCTCTTGTTGCCCAGGCTGGAGTGCAGTGGCACGACCTTGGCTCACTGCAACCTCTGCCTCCTGGGTTCAAGTGAGTCTCCCGCCTCAGCTTCCCAGATAGGTGGGATTATAGGGGCATGCCACCACACCCGGCTAATTTTTGTATTTTTAGAGATGGAGTTTTGTCATATTGCCCAGGCTGGTCTCGAACTTCTGACCTCATGTGATCCACCTAACTTCTCCCAAAATGCTGGGATTCCAGGTGTGAGCCACCGCACTCAGCTGCAGGAACCAAGTTTCTAAACCAACACATGGGACTTGGGATCTTCCAACAGCTTTCATGCCCCTTTTGGGAGCAACATTTAGACCTTGAAAGGGATGGACCTTCCAGGCCATGTGAGGCCCAAGGAAGCCAGATTAGAAGCAGCTTTGAATGCCTGCTCTGGAGGGCAAAGCAGTCTTCTTCCCTGAAGGGAACGGGAACAGATGTGGTTTTCTGGGAAAAGCCTCGTGGACGCAGCAGGGACCATCTGTCCCGGGCATTTCCTTTTTTCTTTTTCTTTTTTTTTTTTGAGACGGAGTCTTCCTCTGTTGCCCAGGCTGGAATACAGTGGCGTGATCTCGGCCCACTGCAACCTCCACCTCCTGGGTTCAAGCGATTCTCCTGCCTCAGCCTCCTGAGAGCTGGGGCTACAGGCGTGCACCACCACACCCAGCTAATTGTATTTTTAGTAGAGATGGGGTTTTGCTGTGTTGCGCAGGCTGATCTTGAACTCTGGCCTTGCACTCCAGCTTGGGCCTGTTTTAAGGCTTCCGTGTGAGGTGTGTTGTTGGTGGGTTTCACTGCAAAGCAGAAGGCAGCGGGAACAGGGGCTTGGCTTCTGCTGTCTGGTATAGTTGGGCCTGGGGATCCTGGCTGGGTGCAGAGGGAGTGGCCTCGTTTTCCAGCCACCTACTCCTGCCCCGCCTGACTCACCTGGGAATGTGATGTGTAGGCCTTGAGAAGAAGACCCAGGTCCTGCAGCCCAGGGAGAAGACAACTGTGGCCTACCATGAGGCCGGACACGCGGTGGTGGGCTGGTTCCTGGAGCATGCGGACCCCTGCTGAAGGTTGGTATCCCCCTGACGCGCCCCGAGTGAGTCCACCCGGCAGGCTCGCGCCTGGTATCTCTGGGCCAACCCGTGGTTGTATGGCCCTGGGACATTCAGGAGGTAGCCCTTTAACTTTTTAAGGAATATGCTGCTCTAGAACTTGTCAGAAGACCCTTCGGGGTGGGAAGGCAGAGCAGTGGGTTCCAAATGGGGCTTCGGCAGCGTGATTACAGGCAGCAGCCTCAGTGTTCAGCTCGCCTCACTCCTGAGCTTGCATGCAGCTCTTGGGCCCTGCCAGAGCCTCTGCAGGGTGGGCAGAGCACAGGTGGTTTCCATGTGAAGCTCCCAGAGGCCGGTGCACTTCTTGGGGCATCCCCAGGGTGCCTGGGGGCCTGGATCAGGCTCTCTTCTCTCATGTTCCAGTAAAAGGACCTGCAGTCAGAGCTAGGGTCAGGTGGACCTGGCTGCTCCAGGGTGGCTCCTGGAGGAACTGGGGACTGTGTTTGGGGTGACGGGGGCATGTATTGTGTCCTGCAGGTGTCCATCATCCCCTGGGCAGGGGGCTCGGCCGTGCGCAGTGCCTGCCGAGGGAGCATGGGGTGACAGGGGCATGTGCCGTCTCCTGCAGTTGTCCATCATCCCCTGGGCAGGGGGCTCGGCTGTGCGCAGTACCTGCCGAGGGAGCATGGGGTGACGGGCATGTGTCGTCTCCTGCAGGTGTCCATCATCCCCCGGGGCAAGGGGCTGGGCTATGCGTAGTAC